GTCGTGTGATTATAATTGTGTTTTTCTTCGATTCATACCTGAGTATGAATTATTGTATCTTTATAGTGTTCGTGCTTGTCCCAGTTCCACAAGATATATCATCACCACTATATATTAACCAGGTACACTAATAATATAGTTATTTTATTATGTATTCAGGAAAGATTCAATTCACTTATTTAAGTTAAAAATGCATTACATAATTTGTTTTTATTACAGTAAATAAAATACACACACCAAAGAACTCTAAGCAACATGCATAATTAACGCAAACTGCAAGTTTAAAGTAGATATTTTATATTATCGTTATGAAATGTATTTATTATTTATTTAAAAGATTATTTTTGCTTTAGTCACTAATAAATTGTTTTTTTTTTAATAAAAGTATTTAAAATCGGTCAAAAGTTCAAAAAAGGTTATTTTGACTCTGTTGATGAGTATTTTTTTATTAACTTTAAATGTGTAGGTAGTTTTTAAGTTATCAGCTGAACTTGTGTGAAATTATTAATATTTAATTTTAAACCAGCAAAATGTTTACTTACTAGGAACGATTCTCCTTATTATTAAACACTTTATTGACGGGCTAAACTTTTGTAGAGCTGGTTATTTACTTACGTTCAGTACCTATACGGTAGGTAGGTAGGTTAGGTAGGTTTTTCTAACCTTTAGAAACACAACACCACCAAAAGCTAGGTAGCTAGGTTCGTAATGCTATTTTATTGTACTGTATCTACTGCTTCCGTTGGAGTTAGGTCTTCCCCATGCGGGCACTCCAGTGTCTCCAGTACGAGTTGAGATCCGTTATGCCTCTTATTGCTTAGTGGGTACTAAGTACTATAACGCACCTACGCACCTTAAGATAATACCTAATACTCATGCTTTGTTAAATTGCTAACGGTCGCGTGGTTAGGCTACCAAAGACATTACACTAGTGGCTACGTATAAAGCTGTTAGTATTTGAAAGTTCTGTGAAACGATTGTGGTTGGTTCATTCAAGGCTTTTTTAAAGTTGGTAAATTACTCGTTCGTAATATACGAATATACCTACTCATTTACGTACATGTTCACGTTCCTCATTCTTGAATCAAGGTTATTATCTTAATGGTGTCGATTCTGGCATGATTCTCTAAACATCAACTTTAATTCAACATCAGTCTCTCTTTTTTATTCTGTATGACCAGGATACACTGTTGACAAATTTAAGTTTAGGTTTAGATAATCATCTTTGAATTGACACCATTGCATGTTGCTTTAAATTAGTTCTTATCCACTAAGTGCAATAATATTACTGATAGTGTTAGGCCTCTTTTAAGAGGCACACCGCCGAACGGACCTCACACCTGGCTCCCGTAACTCTTACGAGCGCTTTACGGCATAATATCCACTAAAAAACCCTGCGAATCTAAGCTGCTTAGCGTGAAGCCGCGGTATCCCCGTTTAGGGATTCTTCCGCGTCTCCGCACCTAGCAGGCTTCGGGGTATCGCCGCAGACGTGCGCAGAATGGCCCGCGCATGGGGGCTGAGTACGCGGCCTAGTGCCCACCGTACCGCCACGGTAATATAATCTATATAGTATTCTATCTTCATACAAACGGTCGGAAAGCGTGTCATACCTACGCCACTCGAGTTCGCGCCGTACCCGGTGGGCATCCAGTCGCGAATGCGCCGCAGCGACGACCGAACGATGTGATTGTTTTTAAGCAGTTAGCAGTGCTTAAACGTTTGTATTGTGAATATTTGATTGAATTAAGTAGATACCTACATAATTTAATATGGCAAAGAGCAATAGTCGATATTGTGCTGTTTTTCGTTGCTTGAACTCTTCAATAAATGAACTTTTTATACGAATGCGTAATTACTATACTATTACATTTAATAATAAAGCTTTTCGTACGTCTCAGTCGAGGCGTAAATATTTTTCTGTCTTAAATCTATATTTTTTTTATTAAATATTACACTTAAAATAACATGTATTTTATGTAACACCTCCTAATTCATTCATAACATTTTTTTTGTTACATATGAAATAAAATATTTACAATCACAAAACTAGAAATAAACTCAATTAAGTATATGAAATTAAAATACTGTAGGCGGGCCCAACCGCGTGGATACGCCCCGCTCGGCGTTCGGCCGTAGGCATTTATTTTCAAGGACAGAGCAGAGTCACAATACTGTATAGATAATATTACCGTGGTACCGCCCCCCGTCCGCTGCGGAGGGCTTGGGCGTGCCCGTGTAGCTCCCTCCGCCGCCCCCCTCTTTGCAGGACAAAACTACAAGGGAGGGCTGTCGTCACGGGGAATCGCCTAGCTGGCCCTAGGCACGGTAATATTATCTAACAGTATTGTGACTCTGCTCTGTCCTTGAAAATAAATGCCTACGGCCGAACGCTGCGTTAGTACGCGGTAGGGCCGCCCGCCTACAGTATTTTATGTAGTTATGTTTTTAACGCGAGTGTAGGTAGATTACTCGTTTGTCCCTTTTTTCATCCTAACCACTTATTTATATATTATTCCAGATATTTTGCCCGATGGAAAAACCGAAATACCTAAATATTAGAAACAAATTACGTACTAGTAGATAGGTATATAAAAATATTCTATAAAGGTAAGACACCTCTCCAATATTTCAGGTAATTTAAAAAATGATATCTCTGGGTGTGTTATTGAAGAGTTCAAGCAACCAAAAACAGCAATTGTGCTGTTGTACGATATTGATCGTCGTTTGTTCTTTTCCATACTAAATACATAATTTATCTACTTAATTAAATCAAATATTTACAATACAAAACGTACGTTTAAGCACGGCTAACTGCATAAAAAACAATTCAGACCGTTCGGTCGTCGTTGCGGCGCGGCGGCGCATTCGCGACTGGGTGCCCGCCGAGAGCCCATCGAACTCGAGTGGCGTAGGTATGACTCGCTTTCCGACCGTTTGTATGAAGATAGAATACTGTATGATATTATTACAGTGCCCTGGGTTCTGTAAAACAACGGCCGTTAACAAGAGACTTAAAATGTTAACGAGACGGCGCCGCGGCGTGACGCTAGAGATAGTTTAGGGTACCTTTTCTAAGCGGTGTCGTTAAGAATCCTCTATTCCATAGTGTTCCAAACCCAATCCCAATCAAATTAGGGGGCGGCCATAAATTACGTGAGATGTTTAAGGGGAGGAGGGGGTCGAGTCAAATCTCATCTAATCTTACGTTGGGGAGAGGGGGGGTCTCGGCAAATATCACGCAATTTTTTTTCACAGTAGTATCTATTGAGTATTCTATTGTTAAATTTTTATTACACTTATAACTCTCAGCAATATTGATTACTAGTCTTAACTAGTCGTAAATAAAAGCAAGAAGCATTTTTTTTTCTTTTTACAATAACAATCCAACGCGTTTACGAAAGAAACCCACATTTTGAAAAATCTCACGTGAGATTGGGGGATGGGGGAGGATGTTGAATAAAATCTCACGACATCTCACCAGGGGGGGAGGGAGGGACAGAAAATCCAAAAAAACACCTCACGTAATTTATGGACGCCCCCTTACCGAAAGTGCATGCAATCCTTTATATTAAATGAAAATTATGAAATTATGGTTCCCTCCCGATTAACAAAATTATGTAGATACTGACATTATTTTATTACTTTAGCAAAAATACTAACAAGTTTACACATTCAGAAATAAACCTGGGTGTCATTTATCACAGGAATGTGCGAGATTGCCAATTTACTGGAAGTTTAATTTGGGATTGAATGTCCTTACGATGAGCTCGATGGTGCAGGTGGTTAGCGCGTTCGGCTGCGATCGTTGAAGTTAAGCAACTTTCGCAGTGGTCGGTCATCGGATGGATGTCCAAAAAATCTTCTATCTCGCGTTCCTCCGTGCTTCGGAAGGCACGTTAGGCACGTTGCCGGGCTGCATCTGCAGTCGTTAGCACCCGCCAATCCGCACTGGGCCCACGTGGTGGATCATGGCCCAAACTCCCTATTCCATCCATAGGGAAGGCCTGTGCCCCAACAGTGGGGACATTAGGCAGATGATGATGTCCTTACGTTACGTCCTTCGTCGTTCGCGGAAGTACATCGGACAGAACAAGAACGTGTCATGTGCATGGAGATGAACTGTCATGTTCACTTTCTACTATCGTGCCACACTTGCCACTAATAACAGGTATCATACTTATCTACTTAGTAGTTTTAAGAGCCGCCATTGTCACCGGTTGGAAAATTGTCAAATATATGCGACAGTATGGAAATAATTATCTCATCGGGATTTTAAGCCCAACGAATTAGGTTAGATTTCGATTTGTTGCCTGGCCCCAAACCTTTGATCCAAGTCATCAAAAGTAAACCAAAAGTCGATACTACTTCATTCTGTGAATGAAAATTCTGTTGCACTCATTGGTGGAAAATGCCAATGGTTCAAAGAAAATCGAAACTACATCATTTGATCACCGAAGAGTGTAAATCCCTTGATTGGATCCCGTGTTGATTGGTTCCAATGTGTAACGGAAACTTCGAAGCAGATCGTAACTTCATAATTTTATCACCGTAGAGTAAAAATCTTTTTGTGTTGACTATTTTGGTCTATGCTAGAAAAGTACGAAGAAGCGCGAAACTTCAGAAGTTTATCGCCGAAGAGCGAAAATCCTGTTGAGTTGATTGGTAGACACACATTTGCAGGCTTATACACTTTCAAGGTATAAATATTGTCTACCAAAAACATATAGGTATTGTACACAACATTTGAGCAAATAAATGTTTTTGATTTGGTGCTTTATATCGAAAAAATTCGTTAACCTACATCTTCAACTGGTGATTTTTTTATCTACAGCAACACGTTTAGCAGGAAATCATATATTTGCAAAGACTCGTCTTCCTTGCTGCGTTGCTCGCGGTTGGATATTTATTTAATATTGTTATAAAGGTACGATTAGTGATAAATCATCAATGGGTAATTCCATTTATAATTCCGTCATAGTGTGGAATAGACTGAAAGTAAAATATAATTATACCGAAATATTAAGAAGACTACTTAATAAAATAGTGAATGTGACATAAGTATTTCGCAGGTTTATACCAAGCACCGGTAAAGACACGAGATGGCGCAAGGAGCGAGAAGGGCACTGTTGGCTGTGCTCATGGTCGCCGCTGTCATCATTCCCCACTTCACGGCACAACCAGTGAGTGGCTTATTTAATAATATGTAAAAGTTCGTGACTTGTTTTTGATCCATTAAGGACATGAAAAACTAGAATCATGCAGATATTCTGTTTACGTTTCTGGTATTGGGTTTTGGCACAGCATGACCTGAGCTCTGACTGAAGTCCTGGATTCGATTCGTGACTAAACTAAATATATATAAACTTTTCTTTATTGTCTCAAGCTGTTGAGTGTCCGGACCTATTGAACAGTAAGTAAAAGATCAATGTGAAAAATGTAGCAGCGTAATGTTTTTCTTTCCTTGCCAGTCCCATGGCACTCAACATGTTTTTTCATTTCAAATCTTTATACATACGCATATGTGAAGAATATGCAAGTATCTGGGTCAAGATTTTTCTCAGGTTTGTTTACCCACATACTTTGGTACTTAGCTAGCCACGCTACTTGGCTAATATTTATAAACGTGTAGTAATTGGACTTTTTTGTAAACTTGTCATCCTATTTTTTAAATAAATTTCGATCCCTCATGAATTTATTTAATACGGAATAAGTACCGTCTAACGAAACTATAAACCATCTTTATCAACCAAAAATTTTTAGGTACAACTTTAAATCAATTTTATTCGTTGTCCTTGGTGATATTCGATATTACAAGAACGTGGAAAAGTTTAATCTTAATGGTTCAATATAATTTTTTCAGCCAAGCGCGGACAAGTCGATAGAAAAGGACCGCACTAACAGACAAACTGCAATCAAGGCGGGCAAACAAGTGGCTACCACTCCGAAATGGGGTTTCTTCGGAACTATATTTCATCTTATTTTGGAGGTAGTACTAAGTATTTGTATTTTATGCACCACTGTCACTTTAGCCAGATTATTATAAGAATACTGATTTACCTAGCGCTATTTTAAAGTAAAATATATTTCAGTTTAAATACTTAGTATGTTTTTTATGTTTCAGCAAATTAATGACACAAAAAGTGCATATAATCAGATAACAGATCAAGTGAATACCCAGTTTGTCGACGATACTGTAAGTGCAAGAACAAGATTTTTTAATAGTCTTTTTAATGAATTGCTTCACACTCGAGTAGTAGGACGCCCCTCGTATTCGCGGTCAAATATTTTTTGAACTAGCTTATTGTTAAATAGGTATAGATTTAAAACGAAGAGTTTCACAATTTAACGTGACAACTTATGCATGACATTCATGAGCATTTGTGATGTTCGTTCACACCGGAATTGCGTAATGTCCGACCTTGATCTTTCACTGTTGCGATTCAGATTTTTGTAGAATGAGCATATAGCTTGGGACAATTTGATAATTTCATAATTAAATTAAATATTTGCGTTGTTTGGCTCAAAGATGCAATCCATTTTTATTAAACTTGGTTCTCTGAGTAAAACCAATTCCTTGTGCTCATCAGCTTAAAGGTTACACTACCGTTACCGTCTACGTCATTAGAGTTGAAAGTGAAGTAATGACGGGACTAGCCCATGATATGTTAAAATACTGTCAAACTACCGTGACAGGAACATAAATTATAGTGGAGTAGTGGAGTGAACCTAACCGAAATGCTTAGTGCAGTAGCACTTCTACTTATGTGCTGACCTTGAATTCCTAGTGGGGTAATTATTTACAAAATCATCATTTTAAGGTTGCAAAAATTAATATGACTTAAGATAACAATAATCAGTTAGTAACAATTAACTTCTAAACTGTAAAGGGTAAAAACATAAGTGTATGAACAAAAAACCGTGTGATACTAACCTACTCCTTGACAGCGCTAAAGTTAATAATTTACGTTTTTTCTTTACGTTTTATTCTAGCTTTGGTCTACTTTATATATTAAAAACATCTTCTATGCTGTATTGGGAGACAAATAATCTCATGAACTGAACTCGGAGATATAAAAACAGCAGAATGTGACGTCTGCTGTTTTTATATCTCCGTGGCCGAGTGGTTTGTACGCCGGGTTTCATGGTGTCGCTGACTCGAGATGTCCCGGTGGGGGCAGATGTTTGTATGATGAATACGAGCATTTGTACTCCAGTCATGGATGTTTAATATGTATTTCTATATAAATATACTTATATATGTACTGTATATGTATTCTATCCGCTACCCTAGTATCCCATAACACAATCCTTACAGTGCTTACTTTGGAGCTAGGCTAATTGGTGTGAGTGTCGGAAATATTTATTTATTAGTTATAAATGTGAAATTAGTTCAGGCCTTATATTGCCAGACTTATTTTGATGTTTTATGAGCATAAACACGGTCGGATTTAAGGCAGGGCAGACGGGGCTGTGGCTGAGGGGCCTCTACAAGAGAGGTGCCCCCACAACAGAGATAAAAAAACAAATTTCGACGGGTCAATAGCACCCGGTGGGCTCGGGTGTTGGTGGGTAAATCCAGGATCTGGGAAATAGAAAAAATACAAAGATATCAGAAGAACATAGGATACTTTTTGACACGATAATTAAACTTCAGGAAGTGAAAGCATGAGGAATTTGTTTATTTAAAATTTTAAAGGCGAAAATTTAATGACTTTTTTATAGAAACCTTCAACTAGGCTATCCCGCTCCTGCGCTTGATGTAAGTGCAAGTGAGGTTCAGATATGAAGATAGTTGGTGTGCCATTTTGCTGCGTAGCTCATTTTATCAACCTGCCATTAAAGGTAAACCGCTTAACTGAGACCTCGCCTACGGTGTGGGGGAGGACGAGAATGGGGACCGTGAGAGGTGCAGGCGGCGGGCACTTGTAATTTTGACAAGAATGTGCCTGCCGCTCGCACCTCTCACGGTCCCCGTTTTCGTCCTCCCCACACCCTTTACCCCGCAGGTGAAGACTCTGTTAAGCGGGCTACCTATTACTTTGGCAGTTAACATTTTGCCATACAGATCCATATTTCTCTGCATTTTTTTCTTAAGTGGAGGCGGTCCACCCCACCTCATTTTGGCCTTTATTTACTTTTTATATAACTTTCTTTTTCATATTGAATTTTTCTAACAAAGAAGCCAAATTCAGCAGCCAGTAACGGGTCCACTGAAACGCCAAAATTATCCAGAACAGAGTTTTTAAAAGTGCTGGATAGGAACCTAAAAGGTCTTGCTCGCCTTCGAAATCTTGAATGGCGTGAGGCCAAAAAGGTACACTATTTTTATATATTTTTTAAGCTTTATGAACTTTTTATATTCTTATATAGTTAGTGAGATAATTTATCAGATGAACTCATGAACTGCATTCAGATAAATTACTTATAGGAAGGAACATTTCTTGCATATATTTGGATAATAATTTTAATATATTTCATTACTAGTTATTTTCCCCTGAACTATTATATTCCAGGGAGCTTATTATCTAACTTTAATTCTTTTCAACATCCTCTTCAAACCCAAAGAAAATTTTCAATGTGCAATAATAAATTATCTTTCTCAACTATGAAATGACAGGGGTCGCGGAAAAGGCAGTTACACAATTCGAAACCAGGGGTGAGATGTACAGTACAGATACTGTTACGTGTCGGAATGGGGTTCGAAATTATATGCCAGTTCACGCTTGACAGTACTTTATTCACCACATAGTTCACACCGTTAACACATAATGTTAATCACAAAACACTCATTAAACACTGAACTTCAATATACAAGTCTTTAAACAATCGTACTTTCACTTTGATCGCCTTTGTATTCGTTCCGAAATCTCTGTTGAAACTCAACTGTTATCGCTTTGAAACTAAAAACTGTCTGCTGCACAATTATATATGTCAATCGACGCATTCTAGAAAAGTCCAGATAAATTGAGAGTTACTAGAACCCGCGAATGCGTAGTACCTACTTATACGTAGGTAACGCGCATAACCCCGCGGTGTTCTGGTAAAATCTGTCTCCAGTATTTTCGCGGTTTTCTTTCGAGAGGATTTCTGACAATACTTTATTCAATTATGAATATATAGTGCTCTATTTTCTTGGATATCACTCTATTGCTTGCTTGCAAATGCATCTCTATTAATGATGCTGTTCATATAAGGTTCAAGATATTAAAAATGCAGTAGAATATATTATTTCCTTTATTTGATCATATTTTTACTTAGGTGATTAATGAGTCATTATGTTTCAGGATACATGGACAAATTTAAGAGGATACAAGGACGAAATATTCAACGGAAAGAAAAATGGAAAAAGAAAATAAATGTCACTTAATTATGCTACCTTTTTTCCTGAAAAGACTGCGGTTTATATATATAAATGTAAATAATTAGTGTTATTTATTGCTCAATAAGTAGATCATTTAGAAATAGATGTTGGGTCAAAGCTTTTAAAAGTATTTTATTTTTAAGCGCCTTTAAAAAAGTAGGTTCTCGATTCGTCGATAGCTTTTTTATGTGTTACCTGATTATTCAAAGATGCCTAAACTGATTCGAATAATTATTTTTGTATGATTAAACTATTAGCAGGGAGCTGGTGGCAGTGATTTTAATATGATATGTTAATATTCAAGTAATAAGTAAAATAATCATTTTAAACAATTTCTGCCATTCATTAACTGCTGCAATATCAAATAGGAGCTTGCGAAAATTTTTAATAAAAATAAATGTCCTAAACGATATTATTGCTTCTGTCGAGAGTTTTAACACATTGTATTTAATATAAAAAAATGCTAGTGACAGAAGTTTTTCCTGCTATGTTTTAGAGTAATAATTTCATTTCTAATTATTATAATATATAAAAAAATATATTACTTCCTCGGCAGGCAGACAAAAATAAACAAAAAATATTGAGTATGTTATTTAATGACTATTGTGTGATTGTTTACATCGAAAAATAATTAGGAAACCTCATTTTTAACCGACGAAAAAAACAGGAAGCTCAAAGTCGACTCGTATCTTTTTTATTTATGACCACGCATAACTTTTTACAGAGTAGTCCGATTTTGATAATTCTTTGTTTATTGGAAAGGGCATACCCCGAAGTTGGTCCCGAATAATGGGAAAAAATCCAACATTAAGGTTATGAAAATAGGGAATGATTGATTGTTCACTCATTGATTGTAAGTTATGACCGCACATAACTGTTTCCAGAGTTGGTATTCTGATTTTGATAATTCCCAGAAGTTGGTCCCATATGAATTTAGAAATAAAAATCCTACCCTAACATTGGAAAAATGGGGGTGAACGTTCACTCTCAGATTTAGATGCCGGGTTGTATATTATTTATAATAAAAACTTTTTAACAAAATAATTAAACCAAATATTAATTTGACTAAAGATAAAAAAGGTTTTATTATTTTTTTACTTTTCGGCGGTTGTTTTTAATTTTGTTATTTTTAATTTTTTTGTTTGTTTAAATGTTTTTATATGAAAATTTTTGCTTTTGTACTTTACACAATGATAAATAAAAATTTATGATTTTTGTAAGTGGCTGAGAAACTACTGCTTTTTATAAGCAAAATAAAGGTAAAGGAGTATCGAAGGATTATCGGGTATGAAACAGGAAGCAGTAGAGCACTCCGGGTGTATACACACATTCTATGTTGGCTTTATTTGCGGAGATTTTAATAAATTTAAGGGTAAAAAATAGGTTATCCATTAGTAAAAGACAAAAATAAGCATATGAAGTTTAATTTTAACTTCCTATTCCATGTCAGGGCAAAATATCGGCGTGACATGAGGATATACAAAATTTCCATGTTAATTTTGTTTTAGTAGTAAAGTTTACTAGTGGTAGTAGTGTAAGCTGGTAGTTACCAGCAGCACATTCAGTGTCAGAAAAAGAATTTATATATCAAGTATGATATATTTTTATCCTTTAAGGACCCTATGCTTATTTTATGGCGATAAACAGACTCTCTTGTTTTAATACACCTTCTTATATGACTGCTGGATGCGTGGTTTAATGAATAAAAACAAAATGACATTCACGCGCGCTTCATTACCTAGTTACCACAGCGTCGAAACTTTTCATGAATATCAAGTTATTGGAACGCCCCATGGTTTCAGAATCGGGGGGCACGGCAGTGCCCCCGCCAAGTCGAGCGCGAAGCAAACACTGCCGTACCATCCTTTACTGGAACCATTTCGCCGCATTTTCAGACCCCTATTTGAGAACCTCTGGATAAGACCAGTACGCTGAAATTTCGTCATCCAGTAAGCTATAATAACATACTTAAAATCCAATTTCAAATCTGTACGTCATTTAGTTCCGAAGTTAAGTGAAAGTAAAGTTTCGCATTTACGACACTCACTCACTCATGATCATCAGAATAGAACTACTACTTCCCATAAACTCAGAGAGCTGAAATTTGGTACAGAGTTAGGGTTTAATGGCCACATAAAGGGAAAACTATAAAAACTAGGATAATCGAAGATCTGGAGTACCTGGTGACCCTGATTAGAAAACACAAGAGCCCAACCAAACTATTAGAAGAGATCGACATACCGCCTTTACAAAAAATATTCAACTTGGCGGGCCGCTTCATTTGATGTAAAAAATCGAAGGTCTGAAGTATCTGATGAAGAACCCTCAGCTGTATTAGAGATATGGTAATGCCCCCTTCTACTATTGGTACACAAAAAAATCGAAAGTCATTGCAAAAATCCAGCGTAGTGGTACACATCTTTAAATTTAATGTAGCCTATAGCGTCCCACTGCTGGGCGAATGCCTCCCCTTCTTCTTTTAATGCGAATATAAAGAAAATTAAAGGAAAACTCTGGATAACACTATTATACTTATATTTACGAGTTTACAAGAAAGAATAGTCGAACGATTAACTTTATTCTACTCGAACATTACACAAATTAAATAAACAAATTACACTAAAATATTAATTTCGCTCAAAATTTGGTCAAAATATAATGCATTGGACTAAGAAGATGATACCAAGGTCTAAGTCTAAAAAATACCCTCATGGACATTGGCACCTCCATATTCTGTTGTGACCAAGCCTACGTGGCGCTTTATTATATAG